GACAAGGGCCAGGCTTGCTTTCTAATTACTGAGAGAGTTCAGCTGGTGTCTTGGCCTTCAATTCTGGACATTTATGGTTTGATTTCTTTGTATGTATGGATCACTTGGGTTGTTACCAACATCTGGTGAAAATTTCATGTCATTAGCACCTCTACTAATATATTTACTGAGAAAAATGGTGACGTGTTCAATACTTATTTTACCCGCTGTATATTTTGCAAGCAGTCAGTCTGCTGTTATCCAGACTGATTTTTAATCACTAATAACTTCATATTTCATTAATTTGAAGATATTTTGAGTTGAAAATCAATCACACTCAATAATTATGTTGATAATAGGTTATTCTGTTTGTACTGGAATTAGATTTTAAATGTAACTAATGACATAAATTGGTTAGATTAAATTAAATTGGCTATGAATGCTGTTGTACAGTATAACACTACAATATTAATATGAAGATCTCAAACTAAAAACCAACTTAAATTACGGTATGTATTTATTGAAGTTTGAAGTTTGGAGACATTTTAAAATGCTCTTTTCAGAACCGCATCTGACACGCTACCTACGGGACGGGGGAGACGGCCAGGCGAGGGGGGGTTGCAGTGCGCGACAGCTCTTCTTTTGAATAAATAAACTATGTCACACAGTTGTTTACACTTACATTAAAAATATTTGACCAAAGACAAACCGGAACAGGACTAGAGAGATAAATATGATTTAGATTTTTTATTTCTGTGACTGTATACAACCCACAGAAGACACGACTTTAACAGTAGTCATTCAGTTCCTCAGCTTTAGCAGGTCTGACGCTGCTAAAAATGACAGAATTTTCTTTTCTGGATCTCTGAAAGCAGGACTTCAATCTCCGAACTCGTAGTTATGTTTTACTTTGCGATGTCATTTATGAATGGACAATTCCTGGTATGTGGGGTAGGAAACGTTACCTTATATGGTGGTTTTGGGGCTGTAATTATGCTAATCTCCTCTCCCCGTGCACGAGCAGCTGATACATATTCATCAAGTTTACGCAGCTCATTTACACACTTTTCCTGAAGATAGAAGAGTTTGTTGAATCTGACGTGACATGTTCGTACGAACCCTTCATACGAACAAAAGTAAGAGAAATTTAGGATAAGAATACGAAAAAAGTTCTTGCATGAGGCCCATTGCTTCTAAAATAGATTTTAACATGCACTCCGAAGAAATAACCACATAATGCAATATTGGTGGCATTATGTTTAAGTGCTTTTTGCATGAATCACTATGAAATTTTTGAAATTGGAGTTAAGACAGCATCAGACCACTCTGATGTTGGCTATTTCTAATTAAGGTCATTCAACAAGCTATCTGCAACATGTAAGATATTCATCACCTTTCTAAAGAAACTCCACCTCAGAAACAGCAAACTATTGCTTTGAGTCATAAATGTTAGAAAGTGAGATCACACAAAACCTGTGGCTGTGAACTCTAATCATGTCAGCAGTTTCACACACACTAAATAAAAATCTGTGGAAATGCTCAATGTTGCTTTAGTGCGACCTCAGCGGTATTGGGAATGACACATTTCCAATTTCCCCCACGGTGACAAGCCAATCATGTTTAAAGGTTATTCAGTGAAAACCAATATTGCACATCACAAATCAGCAGGTTGTCTTCAAGATTTTAGAACCATGTCCAGGAGCTGCCAATAACCCAAATGTTCCACTGAAACAAAACCTTACATCTTCCTATAACTTGAGTTTGGATAGTTTAGTAAGTTGTGGAATTAAACGGAGATACTTGAAAGCTAAAGATGATGAACTAAGTTACTATAAATATACGTTTTAACCCCACATCCTAGAGATCATTTCAAGTCACGGTTTCTTTCCTGAGAACACTCAAGTGCACTAAAGCCCTGCATCTTAGAAGATATTCCCTTTCTTTAACATCGTCCAAATGAGGATTAATACTTTCTGTTTGTACAGCAGGTAATCCTGGAACGAGTGGGCCATCTATCAGGTGAAAACTATAAAAAACTGATATCATTTAAAAAAATTAAAATAGAGTAAATGTTGGCCCCAACATCTGTTTTTCATTTATATACACTGTTTGTAATATTGGCCAATCTGATGACAGTTCTGTCCACATGAATGTTCTGATGTTCAACCCAGTTACACAAGTGTTGAACTCGTGTAAATATTTGTGTAGAAGACGCAGTCCTGGTCATTTGGGAGCGTTTGTCAGCTGCATTTTTAACAACTTGTCTAACGTGTCGCCCAACAAGGCCGAGGCAAGTCCCCACACGTCTGCCGTTACATGATTACACTCGACATTCTGGATATGCAGCAAAGCAGCAACACAAGAAAGAAGTGGAATTACTTGATCCAACCGGTTTTCTGATGGAACAAGGTGACGTGGTGAAATCTATCTGATGCCTGCTGCAGGCTGAGGTGCACAGATGAATGAATGAATAATGCTGGTTCTCAGTGTAACACAGAAAGGAGGGTTCGGGTGAGACTTTAAGTAGAGATCGAGTTTTGAGTGGCGATTTCTCCCCGGTCCTGCTCAAGCTCTACGAAGCCCTTCGTGACCCTCGTGGGTTCCTCAGGAGCCATCTGTATGTCTTGGCAGGGCACCATTGAGTTCCACCAGACTATCAATTCCCAGGTACCCCAGTAAGATATCACTTCTGCGGTGGGAAAGCTTCAGGATGTCATCAGCCAAGCACTGAACAGTGGTGAAACGGACTTTATCGTGGTCAAACATATCCTTTAGGTACTGCACGATTTGTTGCTGCAGGTGAAAGGACAGGAATTACTGACTGCACTGTCATTTTAAACAAATTAGAGCGCTTTACTTGTCACAGTATTTGACTAGGAAAGCGTTTCTGCTTTGAATGAGAAGCAGGACGAACCAGAAAGTGCTTTACATCTGACGTAAACATCGGACAGTCACTGTTTTGCTGATTGTTTTTTTTTTTATAAATACAGATCTCACAGCTTTATAGAAATCTACATAATACAGAACTTCTGAAAACAAATTAAAACTCATTTAATCATCCAGTGTGTGGAATTTCATGACATCTAGTGGTAAAATTGCAAACTTCAAGCAGCTAAATAACCTTTGGCCCCAATTGTCATTTTAAGTATTCATTACCACCAAAACCAACCTGCTCAAATTCTATTTTACTTTTTGTGAAAACGTCTTGTGGGATTTTGGAAGCTTCAAAAACTGGAATCACAAAAATGTATTTTAGCTGTAATTTCCCAACTCCAAACATTAACACTTGACAACAGCTTGATTTATCAAATTTGCAAGAGCTTAATACAAGTTTTAATAGGTTGTTTTATCAAAATCCAAATCTCACCTTAAAAATTGTGCAAACTTCCGTCAGATGTTGCCTGGGTCCCAAAAACCCAAAAGCTAAAACCGGGCTCACGTGTTCTGATATGGCATAGAAGTGGGAGATAAACCCGTCAGGAACCTACGGAGAGAGCGAGGCACTGAGCTGGACAAAACCATAAACAAAATAAAGAAATAAAAATGATTTTTACCAAAAGAAGTCGCCTTTTCGCCTTCAGCACCGACCAGCAAGCAGTCGCCAGAGCCTAGAAAGGAGAAAATAAACAGTTTTTAGAGAAGTTGTAAAGCGATGGCTTGTGTGTGTGTGTGTGTGTGTGTGTGTGTGTGTGTGTGTGTGTGTGTGTGTGTGTGTGTGTG